AGTTGATAAATTCATTCAAAAGAAAAAGAGATTGTTGGGACAAAAGGATGGTGAAAAGTTTAATATAGATCAAAAAGGAATTTTGAGATTTAATGATAGGATATGTGTACCCAATGATTCAGAAATTAAGAAAATAATTTTAGGAGAGGCACATAAGAGCAAGTTGAGTATACACCCTGGGGCAACAAAAATGTATCAGGATCTCAAGAGAATGTTTTGGTGGCCTAAAATGAAAAAGGAAGTAGCACAATATGTAGCTACATGTTTGATTTGTCAAAAGGCCAAGATAGAACATCAAAAGGAGGCGACGTAAATTTACGACTCCCGTATTAACGTCGGACTTTTTTCCGACGTAAAAGGGTTAAAATACACGACGTAAAAGACCCTTTCTGTACTAGTGTAAAAATTTAAAGAGATCCAAAAGGTAAGCATATAAACTAAAAAATAATCTATTTTAAACCATGAAAAATAAAAGATAAGTTAAATAAGCAAGACTATACAAACATAAACAATATTTTAACACCCTCAATTCTTTCAGCAATAAATTTTTCATATATAGAATTTATATAAGAAAAATGTGATATATATATATATATATATATATATATATATATATATATATATCAGTTAATATCATTCAATTGTAGTAACAAATTGAATTTGATTTTTAAAATAAGGATTATAAGATATTAATATGGACATTTTTCTTATACTTTTTTTTCCTTCAGAATTTTACAGTCTCACAAATTTTACTTTATTTCCCGAATTTCGCTCAACAATTTATAAAATGTCTGTGGCTTTTTTCTATATCATAGAAATTTACTATCACGATTAAAATAATTTTATAGCATATTTCTTTAAATTAATTGTCACAAGTAAGATATTATGTAACACATTTTCTTTAAACCGCTGCAATATTTTTTACGCGGAGACAAATTTTATAATATTTATAAATTAGAAAACAAAATTCACTAAAAAAATATTAAACGATAAAATTCATGAAATTATGGAACTTGATAAACAAAATGTACTATTAAATCAGGAAAAACTAGAATCATTATTATCAAGTAGATAATGAACACTCAGAATATAGTATGTATAAAGTTTTAAGTTGGAGTTACGTCACTTTCGTTACAGTTAATAATAATAATAATAATAAAACACCAAGAAAAACCATGTTCGATCTTTACATAGTCTAATTTATTACGTTATTAATTCGTAACGTACATTGTCCAACACTACTATACTCTATACACTTATCCCGTAACTTTAAAGACACTATTCAGTATTCAACTACTCTACATATGAAGAAGAATCGATTTTTCTTCTTTCACATACCCAAAAGATAGATCGAAAACAAAATAAAACAAGTTGTATGAAATTATAATAATTACTAGACTATGGAATGTGCACATAAACCTTTTTCTTCTTCTTGAGACCGAAAGGTGTGACCTCACTATCACACACATCGGAGCCATGCCACACGTGTCTAGGCATATATCTCCTGAAATAGAAGTAATCTGAGCTTAGATGCGATCCTTCAAGCACTTGAACATGTGCAAACCCTGGTCTCCAATCATCGTTACCAATAAGCTTGAGGTACAAATAACAAATGGGGGACTCAACGCATGGTGCTGTCACCACGAATTGGTCCACCATGCATGCTTGAAATGGCTTCCTTGGCATGTCATCCAAAACCTCTGGCTCCAATGGGTCAACTTTCCTTAGGTGCTTGGAGTTTAGGTGCCTCACCAATATGCCATTTGAGTTTGTGTCCCCAAACCTTAGGCTCACTAGGTTTGAGGTTTCGGCTCCCCATGTGCATGTGGTTTCTATGGTGATCACGTAGGTGCACTTTTTCTGCTATGTGCAAAGAAGAGTTTGTTAGAAAACGGAAAAAAAAATATATATATATATATATATTAGGTAAAACCCTAAAATCCCTCTTCAAAGAATTATTAGATAGTCTTGCTTGCATCACAACATCTTTCTCAATCAATTTATATACATAAGCATGATTGAGTTTTTCGATTTATGTAAAGAAAAAAATTATAACATTTAACTATACGTCATATAGAGATTAGATGATGTAATAATTTTACTTAAAAGACACATAAAGAGAGATAAAAAGTGAGAAAAAAAAAATAAAAAAGATGAAGTATGATAATAAACAATATGATAAGATATAAAAGTGTTATAGATACGAGTACTTATATATCATGACTTATAAGAGAAATTCATTTGTGACGGAACATAACAAAGAAAAATTGGTATAAGATTTCTCTAATCATATTGTTCGATATTTATTAAGGAAGAAAGAGTATTTTTTTTTATAAAAGAAAAAATTGTATTGAGTAATTGTACTTAAGATACTATATATACAATAACCCAACTTTCCACCATATACCAGTAGATATAAGGTTATGATATATTTATATAAGCCATATAAATATTTATATAAGCCATATAAATATTTATATAAGCCATACAATCTAATATTGGAGGAAAGAGTATTTGATAATCTTCGAAAAACGAGCAGTGTAAGAAAGGATGGGTATCTGTCTTGGTGATATGTCAATTGCTACTACTAAATCTCATACGCGTATTGTCTCGTGTGTTAAATTTTCATGCTCAAAAGGAGTAGATATGTTTTTACCTCAACAATCAATTTTTGTTTTCTAGTTTTTAACAATTTTTTTATTAATTTTAATTGTCGATTTTCATTTTTAATGTTAACATTTTGATTTTTGGAATCAAAATTTTTGTTTAAAGAAAAAATTTTCACAGACTATAAATAAATAATTTTTTTAAAATTAAAATATTGATAAAACTTCCAGAACTAAAAACATATTTAAGTTAAAATAATGAGAAAAAAAAAACAAATTGAGTTATATATTATCCGGCATTTATGAATGAACTTAATTACAGAAATAATAGATATGCTTATTATTAATAGTGAACGTTTATCATACTAAATATAAGAATGAGTTTAAAATTCAAAAATATTAAATAAATTATTTGAAGCAAAATATAATTTCTATTGATATAATTTGTTAAATTTTAAAAATTAAATTCAAATTAAGTTTAATTAGTATAATAATATTAAATTTTAGTTTATGTAAAGAAAGAAAAATATAATTAATTTGATTTGGCATCTCAAGATTTAAATTAAAATGGAAATTTGAATTCAATAAAATTGAATAATAATGACAAATAAAAAATCAAATTAAATGTTCAATGTAAGAGAGTTACATGTCTTAATGGGAATGAAAATATCTTAAAAAATGTACATGTTAATTTAAGAATGAGAAATCAACCTTATAATATATATATATAGAAACAGATGGACCAAATAAAAGAAAATTGGACAGGAGTTTAATTATCATCGATTAATATAATATGTTGTTTAAATTGTAAAAAAAAAAATTATCCATCAAAATTATAATATATACCTTAAGTTCTGGTGCTTCTAGACTCTCACCTCCAGCAACAAGAACATGCAAAAGCACACAACATATAAATTGCCCTCCAATGTTCTTCAGCATCCTCATTTTACTTTGTTCTTACTCGTCTAAATTGACATGGAATATATAAGACATTCTGGTCTTTTATTCTTAGCTTGATCCATTCATAAAGTGCGTATTCCTAAATCTTTAAATGTCGTAGCTCTACAAATGTGTTTAATATTTTATTAAAAAAGGTTCCTTAAATTTTACTTATGCTTCCTCACTTTAACCAGAGCTAAATTTTTTCTTGATTAACGGAAAGTATCTCTGACTAATTCTAATCCGGTGTCGTATCGAAGGTTAAAGCTAGATTCCCTCACTTTTTAGTCACTTGATTAGGGGGCAACCCAGTCATATATATATATATATATATTTCATCATATTCTATCCATTATGTATTCTCTGTTCCACTTTTATGTTTTACTATGAAGATTTCATGCTTTTGTCTTTTTAATTTAAGTAAAATTCAAAAATACAATTTATAGTGAAAAATTAGAACTTTTTGTATGTCATATATAAAAATTAGAATAACTATTTAAAAAAACCTTTTATTAATTAAATGTTTTTAAAAATTAGTATTAATCATTCTTCAATGAAAGACTTCTTAATTAAACACCTTTTCTCTATTAATCTATTTATTTTATTTCATTTTGAAATTAAATTTTAATATTTTTTTTTAAATTATTCATAATTAAAAATAACATTATATCATGATATAAATTATTTATGATAAATATAATATTATAAAAGTACTTATTGATTATAAATTTAAATTAAAAAAAAGTAGACTATACAATGAAAATAATATAAAGTAACTTTATATTATTATTTGATAACTAATCACTTATTTAATAAGTTTGTTGATTCTATAGCAATGATTTTTAATAATTTGAAAATGTAAAAATATTTTATATTATTGATACATGATCATTAAATTTTTTAAATTATCTTTAGAGAAATATAATTTATAATTATATAAAATAAGTTTTTATCTTAAGCATTACATATATTAAAATATTAGTTAAATAATAAATGTGCATATAATTAATACTAATAAAGCTTGAATAGATAATAATCATAATAAAGTTTGTTATGAATGTCACATCCTCTACCCATATGTGACAATGAGTATAAATAAAAGATTCTTAAATCAAAACGGTCATGCATAAGTAATGAATTGAACATATTAAATTTGGTAGAAAATACCACATAACTAATTCCTCAAGTCAAAACTCCAATTAAACTTCAAAATAAAAACATAAATAGTTTAATATCATGTTCTAAGGAACGACTGAACAATAACATCCTATCTACTAGGGGTGTTTAAATTACTAAACTAAACTAAACTAGAAGAAAACTGAACTAAACTATAATAAGTAGTTCACTAAACTAAATTGAACTAAAATAAATATTGACTAAACTAAACTAAATTATTATATAGATTAGTGCACTATAGTTCTAGGAGTTTGAACTAAACTATAATATTAATTAAATTAAATTATTATTAATTATAAATTAAACTATTATTAATTATAAATTAAATTATTATTAATTATAAACTAAATTGAACTATATTAAAAAATAAATTTAAAAATAAATCTGGTTCCATCTCTGTGAAAGAAGGTTCCATTTAATTTTTTTCTCCCTTACAACTATCAAACCAATAAATAAATAAATAAGAACTTTCAATTTTTATAATAAAATCAAATATAATTGCTGCTTTTAGGGAAAGAATAACTACAAAATTAAAATAAGAAAAATGAAAAATAAATATAAAAAACTATTAAAAATATGTAAAATGAAGATAAAATGGTAGTGTGGAACTCAGTTTCTGTGTACTAGCAGAAATGTGAGCATTCCTAGATAATAAATAATTGATGCTAATAAGGAAGAAATAATGGAAAATACAAATTTATAACAAAAATAGTTCTCTCTGTAAATTTTGTTTAATATTTTTTAAAGTATATAAATACATTTTTATATTTTTATTTAACATTTTCTGGTGTATCTATATCTTATATTTTTATGTTATTTGATTATCCGCATATTTTTTTCATTTATGTCAAGTGTTTTAGTGAAAAAAAAAATAGTTTTTTTTATTATATTATTGAAAGATTTGTGTGAATGAACCTACATACTCTGCAACTCAAGGAATTAGTGTTTGATTCTCAATCAAAGGATACCCTGACAACAACAACAAAAAGTTAATCTTAAATAAAAAAAAAAATAATATCTCACTAATATTATTTTCAGTTAAAACACATCTTTGTGTGAATATGATAAATAGTTTTAAACAGTTGGCAAACTTGGAAAAGTCTTTGTTGTTTGGTAGTCTGGTACTGTAGTCTCCGCTGCTTCAGGTCTCCGCGAGTTCGAACTGGTAGTCTGATACTGTAGTCTCCGCTACTTCAGTGCTTCTATTTGCTTTTAGTGAACTGAACTATTAATTTTAATAGTTTAGTTTTATAAACTATACTAAAATTAATAGTTTGGTTTAAACTATTAAAAAACAATTTAGTTTATTTTAGTTTAGTTTAGTTTAGTTATTTAAAAAGTTTAGTTTTAAATAGTTTTGTGAACACCCCTACTATCTACATCCCAATGTCACATAAGGCATTGGAAGTTGAATTTGGTGCATGCCATGTGTGCCACCCTTGGCTAGTCACATGGTGCCCAAATGCAATTTGTAACCGCCTAGTCGTCTGAATATTAATTTCAATATTATACGTATGTAATAATAATATACTTTATATAATTAATATTATTATACATAAAACAAAATTTTATTTTTCATACCCTCACTTACATATAGCACTTTATATTTGCATCATATATTAAACAAAAAAAAAATATTTACAATAATGTACATACTTATAATCTACTTATTTCTTACACTAATTATATGATATTTACATATCGGGTTGATATAAGTTCACTATTGGGTTAACATGATTGGTTGGAGGTAGATAATAAGTGACTACTATTTTAACTCCTACAAATCGTCAAAATGTCGATCGATGCTCGTCGACTTCACCACCATATCGTCCACATAGGCTTCCACATTCCTACCTAGCTGATTCACGAGGACCTTGTCCATCAGTCGTTGATAAGTCGCCCCCACGTTCTTTAAACCAAAGGGCATGACCCTGTAGCAAAAATTGGCTTGATCTGCTATGAAGGCGGTCTTGTCTTCATCTGCTGGATGCATTCAGATCTAGTTGTACCCCGAGTAAGCATCCATGAAATTCAGTAATTCGTACCCCAACGCTCCATCAACCAAGCAGTCTATGTTGGGCAGTGGGTACGAGTCCTTTCGCAGGCCTTATTCAGACCAGTGAAGTCCGTACACATTCTCCATTTCCCGTTGCTCTTGCGCACCATCACCATGTTTTCCAACTAGGTCGGGTATTGGATTTCACGGACATGTCCTGCCATCACCAATTTCTTCGTTTCTTTCGCGATGGCCCTTCATTTTTCTTCTCTAAACTTTCTCCTTTTTTGGATCACTGCCTTTGCATTTGGGTCTATAGCTAGCTTGTGGCATAGGAAATTGGGGTCAATGCCTGCCATGTCCTTGGAATTCCATGCAAACGCCGACACATTTTCTCTTAAAACCCTGACCAGCCTTTCTTCATTTTTCGGGGTTAAAGAAGTTCCAATTTTCACATTCCTTTCCTTCCATCATTGCTACCTCCTTGACATCTTCCACAGGGGCGGTTCGGTGATCAAACTGACCCATCCCAGGATCCAATTTGACATAATGGATGTGTTTTTCTGCTGGTGTGGTATACAAGGGCCTTCGTGCCTTCAGACTGTCCTCGTAACACTTTCGAGCGACCTCTTGATCCCCTTTAAGGACTCCAACGTCTCCATTTGGCAATGGGTACTTCACTTTCAAGTGCGATGTTGACACCACAGCCCCCAGTTTGTTCAGCGTAGGCCTTCCAATGAGTATGTTGTAAGACGATTGAGCATTCACTACTAAATACCGAATGATCACCGTTTTCATCTGCGAGCCCTGACCAAAGTTCGTCTCTAAATCGACATATCCCCTAGCCATAACCTGGTCTCCTACAAAACCTACCAGGGTTCCCACGTAGGGTACAAGTCGGTCGTTAGGGATCTTCATTCCCACGAAGGCTTCCCAAAAAAGGATGTCGGCCGGACTTCCCTGGTCGACCAAAATGCGCTTCACATTATAGCCCATCACTATCGTCATGATGACAATAGGATCATCCTCATGAGGAGCTACTCCTTCATAGTCGACATCTGAGAAGGAAATCATGGGTTGGGGAGATCGGCAAAATTCCGATACGGACAGAACGGAGCGTGTGTACCTTTTTCGAGTAGCTGAGGTGACGCCTCCTCCCGCAAATCCCCCTACCATTGTGTTGAAATCCCCGTGAATTGCCTGTTGATGGACCTCCGACGCCTTTGTTGGAGGGTCCTTGAAGGGGGTCCTTTCTCTATGTATATCCCTCCTTGCGTCGTCCTATGTGTGCCTATGTCGCCTTTTTGACGAGCTTTCCTCCTGTTTCCTTGTCACGAACTTTTTCAGGCGTCCCTCCTTGATCAGGCGCTCAATCTGTCTCCCAAGGATGAAACAATTTTCAGTGGTATGCCCATGAGTCTTGTGAAACTCACACTAGTCGGTCTTGAAGGGACCCAATTGACGCTCCGTCGTTGCTGGAAACTCAAAGAGTGATGCACTATTGACATCATGAAGTATCTGCCTCCTAGGGACATTGAGCGGAGTAAACTTTTCCACCTCGTTGCTTTGTGTCCACTCGCCCCTTGTCCGACCACCATAATCTGCCTATCGGTGATTGCCCTCCTTCACATTGTAACGGTCACGTCGCTTACTCCAATCCGAACGAGGCCAAAGATGTTTATTGCCCTCCTTATTGCCGACCCCAGCTTCTCGATTTTCTGCCGCCCTTTTGTTGATCTGCCCCTCCTCCGTCTTTATGTGACTCAGGGCAAAAGCTCTTACCTCCGACATCGTTTGGCAATTTTCTTTCTCCAATGTGACGTTGAATG